GGAGATACACGAGAATAAAGGGTCAGGACAGGCTCATGATTCCCCTTAGTGATCTGGGCACTGATTTTGGTAGTGTCTCCGGTGACATGGAAGAAACGCTGGTGTACGTGCTGTGGGCTCTCGACAACCCGGGGTACGATCGGATCCTCGCGGAGATAAGCACTTGCTTGCTCAGTCTAGAGGGACTCTTGGCACAGGTGAAGTGAACATCGGCTCAGTAGCGATGTGTTTCGTGCGGGTTTCTCGACGGTGTTCACGCATGGTCACCCGGCAAAAAACCATTTCACCTATTTTTTCTTTCGCACCGCTCCGTGTCTCGCACCAATGGTCCGAACGACGGCAGGTTTTACACCGGGACCAGGTATTGGAGAAGATCACCGATCAGATGGCGGGCCGAACACAGGCGGCGACTCGCGGAAACAGTCGACCTCAGCCGCCTCCATATTCCGCGTTGTGTGCGTTTCAAGAGGGGACTATCCTTCGTATCGTGGATGGCAGCCATCTTGACGTCCACAAGAACTACGAGCAGGGTAGAGCTGTCGAATGCCAGATTCCGCGTGGATGGGGATTACTATGGCATGGTCTATCCGTACACGGCGGCGACGGTTGTACTGCTGCATGGCTTGCTCGTCTCCACATCTTTCTCCGTGCGCTTGGTTGTCCGCAGGCGGCAACGGGAAAAATAGACTTGGTCGACTGAGTGTGCATGATATGAGTAACAATAGACTTGGTGTTATCTTTGTAACTGTGGCATGAGTAAGCACCTCCGGCTTCAACCACAGAAGGCCATCGCCAGGTCGGATCTATTCTCCCGGCTGGATATCAGCATTGAGCTCTTTCGACGATAGCATCCCTGTGTCGTTAGGATGGATCTCTGTAGAGGCCAACACTCCCTCCATTTCAGACAAAACTTGCTCCGAAGTGGGGATATCCCGTTTGTGGGTGATTCGACACGTTACGGTGAAGTCACGAATTGGTACACTGCTTTTTGCCGCATGTGTTTTGCGGTACGATAGTCCGCAATTGTGCGTCTGATGGCACACATCGTGGTTTTGGCACCGGGCGCGCGGATACATCGATCACGGAACGGTGTAATTGCATTTACCGCACCGGTATTGGTGTTTACGCACCCATGTGTGTTACGGCACCAGGGCGCGATAAAGGAACAAGACAGAAAGGATTTATAAACCGATCGCACCCGGTGCCATAGCACACACAATTACGGTACATGCCTGCAGCTCGGAACTGGCTGCCTACGATCTACCCGTTCCCGTCGGAGAGGTCGTGCGCGACCATTTCGCCTACACTGAGCTGGTTGTGGTTCATGTGCGAGACCCCCGAGCCCGACCAACACGCCAAAAGCATTGAGCAGCGGCAGTGGGAGCAGGACGGGCGCTGATGCGTGCTGCATGCCGGTGTGTGTGTGGAGTGTGGAGGTCGATGGGGATCGTCGACAACGAGTCAATCTGAGCCACCGCATGTCTACAGCAGGTACTGGCTATTATCACGTAACCGACAAGAGCAGATTATCGAACAACAGTAAGAACTCTTTGAATCGTCTGAGGTAAACACAACTGCTTGTAGTTCTAGGAGGTTCACAGCGTGGACTGAGATCGGCTCTAGAAGCCCGGTCGATTACCTCTTCTTACTGTTGCTTTTGTCTTCACTTTAATATCGATCCGACCTCGGCACCCGGTGCCTTATTCTGTCCATACTTCGTAGTACAAGACTTTACGCGGTCGATTCCCGTGATCACAGGAAAACTAACCTATAACCAAATACAGGAAAACACGAAAGACCACAACACAAGCAAGTAGGTAGAAATCAACGACAGATAGCCTAGGACAACACGCTCGCCTATACACACTAAGCGAGGTAAGACTAGACTCGCAAAAAGGACAGGAAAGCAAGAGAAAAGTCCAAAGACCAGAACGGACAGAGACAAGGGAAAGAGACAACGTGTGGGCTATGCTCATGACAACGACACGGAAATAAAAAGGCAACACACCAATACCTCAGCGACACGTACACGACCGCTGTCTCTGAGTCTCCGTGCGGAAACAGATGTCTGCTTCCACGCACAGAGGTGGGGCCTACAGAGGGGACAACACTTTCACGCCACGAGACACTGAGAACGACCGCCTGGCGCTCGTTATTTGGCCGTCGAGCCTGACGCCGCCCGTGTTCGGAAGCACGCGCGGGGACTCCGACCTACCATACACTTGCGTCTCATTATTCAAAGGGTGCTAAATCAGAAAGAAGAACAGGCACAAGTAAGACTCTTATGTTACTTGGGTGCCCTTCCGGCGTCTCGTATTTTTCATACGGAACACACCCGGGCGTGCTGTTCAGTTGTTGCCGTAGCTTGACGTTACAGCCAGGCATTGCGTCGCTACGTACTGAAGATGGTGTACCGCTGTAGATTTGCGCGGCCTGTTCAGGTCCCTGGTGATGAAGCAGACCCCTGCGCAGGCGTGCTGGCAGATGCCGGAACAGGCGCGCTTATGGCGGCCGGAGCAGCGGTCCCGAGACCCGCTTCGAGCCTAGATGCTGTGGTGAAAAAATCAGCTTCGTTCAAGACGGTGCCCATATCTTCGAGAAGTTTCGTGTTCCTGCATACTCCACGAATTCAAAAGCGAGCACGGAAAGAATGTCGGGGCGTTAGTCCACCGGGGGCGTTCCGAGGTCGAGTCAGCGGAACAGGACGTATGTGACGAGAGGCATGGACCTCGTCTTGCTGTGGCAGAGGTGATACAGAATATACCGATAGACGATGTACATAGACCGCGTGGTGTCCTCCCCCCTCTGACGTATAGGACCTTGTGCTTCCGTTTCGACTGCAGGAAATACTGCCGACCCTCTGGCCGTCATCTCCTGTTAGTCGGCGATCCCTTGCCCAGAATTTCAATCATACGTCTGGCTTGTCCAGGGAGACCTTGGTGACAACTGTGGCGTAACCGAGGAAGTCAAGCCGGCTGTAATACAGCGGCGTTTTTGGGTACTTTGGTGACAACCAGGCAGACGGGATTGACTGCGGGAGAAGCAATCCGGTACGTCAATCGACACCACCAGCGTCGTGTGCGTCGGAATGTCATCTCAAACTATAGACCATTTCGATGTAGTGGGGAAGCAAAGAACGGAATAAGCGACCTCTACGGATGTTTACAACACACTTGTGCATGACATGGTCGGCCTAACCTTTCAAATGTCTTCGCGCTCCCGTTAGAAATTCGGGCCACAGCCAGGATGTGGGCCAACGCCCCCTTCCCTGGTGCCCGTCGCTTCAGATCGAGATAAACGGCGATGGTCATTCTCATGTAACCCACCGAAGGATGCCGAACTAGGACTCGCTCGGCCAGTGTATCGAGAAGGTCTTCTGTCCCTGACGGCCGCGAGGTAACAGACATGGGGTTGGTAGGTGCGAGGGGTGGGCGTTGATGGTCAGGATTACTTGTCATCCCCGTGCTTCTCGTGGCATCATCAACAACGCATTTGCCAAATGCATACGAGACTGTAATCTACATGCCGGTGTGGGGAACATATAAGCTAGGATTTTATTTTCGGTACAGCATTGTGGACCAGACGTGGACGGCCAAAGAACGTTCGGATACGGCGACGACCACGACTGCATGGAGCACCCGGTGCGACGACGAACCGTGCTTGAATGCGATGCGAACAACCGGGCGCGTGCCTTTAACGTGCCACATTGTGCTGCCGACAGACGGGTGCATGGAAAGCTCTCACTGCTATACGTGGTTACCGGCGCATCCTCGGGACACACACTCCACGTGGTAGTGCTGCTCTTGCGCTACGGTACATACGAAGAGACCAAGACATCACACTGACAAACGACGCAGACGCGCAAGAGTGGCAGGTGGTAGTGAAAATAGGCCCATTTGCGCACAAGCACCAGCTCCTCGTTGGCGCAGCACATCACATCACAACACACGCTTGGGTTGTGTAAATCGAAAGTTGATTAAATTTTCAATACACAAACGACACACGCACCTGTACACCAACCGCCCCGTTATATCCGCGAGTACGCTCTAGCACTTGGTGAAGGCAGTGTCGACATAATTACGAACATCCGGATGCCAAATTATGTACAGCAAAAGAAATGATGCCCTCGGTCTGTACGCCTATCGCGAGGTGCGTACCTTCGTTGAATTGAGTTGCATTACGATTGGCATGATGCACGGCATAACTCGGGGGTACACCAGGCAGGGGCGGCGGGGGCTGCCGGTGAACATGGTGACTCTGGTCGAAGGCTAAGCGTTGACGTCCAGAACAACCGGGCGGGGGGCGATAAGTCTCGCCCCAGCAGTCGGTGTGGGCGTGCTGGGTGGCTATACTGGCGGGTGGTGGTGTGGGCAGGAGAGTCGTTGCAGGCGTACGGCTGGGAGGTTGCTGCAACCCATCTCCCGCAGGACGGGACTCGTCGAGCGAATCCCTGCCCTGCATCGCCGAGTTCACGCTGCGCCGTGACTCGTCGTATGAGCGTCCGCCGCCGCCACCGGTCGCAGCTGCGGCGGGGAGTGGTGCTCCGACAGATCGCTGCCTTTGCATCTCCTCGTAGGTAGCGACTTCGACCTCTGCCTTCCGTATGAAGTCATGCACTGGCTCGCCCACTCTGCGGTACTTGTAGAAAGTCTGGACCTTGATCCTCGCTGTGGTGATCTGGTCGGGTTCTGGCGACGTCGTCGTCGGCATGTCCGGATGATGAGCCTGTTAAGGGGGCAAGGCAAGAGGGTAGTGTCCCACGTGTAAATGCTTGTGTAGGACATCGAGGAGGACATCAATGCGTACCAAATACGGTCCCATCCGCGTGGGAGAGTTACGACCTGTTTCCCGCAATGAGCGACACATACCTCTTCGTACAGGTAGAGGCCGTATAGGTTATCTACATACGAAACGGCGGCTCGCGCGTACGGCCGGATGGCGTTAAATCCCACGCGCATCCTCAAATAACATCTTAGATCATATCCGCGCAGCACACATCGGCCGTAGTAGCATATCATGAACACGACAGTTAGGTTTGGCGCAGCTTTGGTAGGACGCACAGCCTATCAACTGCAGCAGCAGCAGCAATCACCCCTGTTACACGGCACACACGGCACTACCCGACAGCAAATATTACCTGTTTTCGCGGATACGTTTGGCATCAAACTCTCGGGATTTCCGTACGGTCGGATACAATGCACCCTGACTACTACAACCGCCCATGCACGTTGGGTGTTCCTGCCAACCGCACCCAAAGCAGGGGGGGTGTGGGTGTGGGTGTAGCGGCCGCTGCTTGTCGTGCGGCCAGTACACAAACGGTCGAACTACGATCACATGTATACCCACCCCCAAAGCACAGCCTTCTTCATAAGGTTACTTGACGACACAAACGTTCAAGGCCTCTTCGGGCGTGGGTGGCCGTGGTCCCGCGGGTGACGCGAGACCACACGCGCATTGCCCGAAGAGGGGCCGTTTCTGGTAATAGCGGTGGGCCTTTCCGTATCGCTCCTCATTTGGACATCGACATCGCGTTAAATTTTGTTATTAAAAGAAAAAACCCCAAGACATGTCCTTTGTCTGAACTTGTTGTACACATGGAACACACGGAGGAGGGGCAAATGACGCCGAGCTAGCGTGAAAAAAGAACCAACTCACCGGGGACATGGCGGCGTTGTTGGAATCCACTAAGTCCGAGCCGTTCTGCTCTCCTAGCGCCGGGGGTGCGAAGATACTTCCGGTGGACGTTCCCACGGGCGCAACCACCGAACCTTGCTCATTTGATGTGACCTGCCCGTTAAGACGGAGGATTGCGGAGACAATATGAACGGTGCCCCATCTACGTCCACTACGTTGCATTAGTGGTACCCACCCAACCCCCCCCGGCACACACACACCCGCAGTAACTACGAAACACGAACAACGACACTCCCGTGTCGAACGGCGGCGTCGGAGGTTGGAGCAGGGCCAGTACTCAGATGAACACACCTCCTCATTTCGGCATCCTCTTCGTTGTGCAGTAAACGATCTTTGTCGATCGGTCTCGCGGGTGTAAAGGACTGTGTGTATCGTACGTACATGTATATATATCTGTACCTATAAAACAAAATTTTGTAGGCCGTTGTTGTCGTGGTCGTGGTCGTGGTCGTGGTCGTCGTTGTATATATGTATATGTGGTTAAAACGAGGGTCCCTTTCGTGGTCTGCGCGTATGTTGTATGCTTTCGTGGTCTGCGCGACTGGCGCGCCCCAAGAGACAGGCTTCGCCTCGGGAAGTACAATGAAGTCAACATGGTATGGATTTGCGTACGCGCGAGGTCGGGAAGAAGAGCAACGCCATACCTATCAAAATACATCGACACCGGGGTGGTCAATAGATGGGGGGTGCGAATGTCAACCCCACGCTATAAGAAGGATACAGATAGACTCGACAGAAGGTATGGTCACAGACGGTGACAATCGGAACGTTTTACACCGGGCACCGTGCGGACGGATACACAAACGACAAGCGGCGGCGCCTCGCGATGGTGTAGTCTATGCGTTCAACGGACAGCAGTAAGTGCTCGTTTGAATTTCCGTTCTGACCTAGACTAGAGGGCCTTCGTCCATACACACGTATAGACTAACGCACGGTACATCGCATGGGCCCACGACTACACAGCGAATACCTGTTCTAAACCTAGCGAAGCGCATGTTCAGGTCGAACAAACATCCTTCTTATCATAGGCCTCGACGGAGGAACGAAAAGTCCACCTATGCTCGATTGGCTGCCACGGGAACTCCAAAATTGCGGCCATCGTACATGTAACTCACCGACGGGGCGGCGGGTGGGTTGTTCGGTACCTCTGCCTCGTCCTGCATTCCTTGCGCTTGTGCCGCCGGGGTCTCATCGCTTGGGATGCCCGCGGGACCTCCTTCGCGTCGCCCAGGAAGTAGAGACTGCAAGGGACAACCCCCAACCCATTACGAAAGGTTATTATCACGATGTGGCGAAATACGTAGGGTATCAAACGGGATAGATGTGCATCCTCGCTTTTCAGATCCAATCGTTTGGAGGGAAAACGCGATCTAACCCATGTTTACGTAAATGCCGGCAGTCGGGTGCCGGGATGTTGGTACGGGTAAACTGACGGGCGGCAAATCAGTTTGCGGACGTGTGACGATATGCGTGCCAATGGTTCGCGTCCAGCACTAAGCAAACGTTGCAAACCTGTCTCAGACTCTTTTCCTAAACATAGAGATGCATTCGTAGATTAATTGCTAGGCTCAACGTAAAAATTAAAACGCAAAAACTAATCCTACATGCTTGTTTGTGCTTGCACTTTTTGCAACCGTCGCGTCTTTCGACGAGTGACCTACATGTACAGGAGAATATCAATAGTGCCCGCTACCAGCCTGCTCACCGCAAGCCTGCCCGCCTGTACAACCCTGGTGTCGCTGTCTGCCCTGCTCCCGCCACCTGCTTCGTTCGCGCTGGAAGCTGCGAGTGCCGCTCGTAGGCTATCAGCCCTCTCTCTTTGTGCGGCGAGTGACGTTCGTTCTCCCGCCGCGCGCCGCTCAGCCCGTTCGCTCGCGGAATCCGTAACGCGTGGCCCGACAGTGGGGTGGTGCCTCGGTAGTGGAGCTGTGCGTAATGACTGTGCGTCGGTAGCGGAAAGGGGAGCCACTCCTGAGGAGGACCCCGAATATTGCTGCTCTCGACGTCGACCGTTGGTTCTTGTATCAGCTGGAGAGGTGAATGGTTGCCCCCCCCCGGAATCGCCCCGTATCGACACGTCCGTCCCAGCGCTCGCGCCAGAGCTGCGGAGTACAGGCGCTGCCGTTCTAGAACGGGTAGTGACTGACGGCGCGTTGGGCGCCAACGCCGGGGAAGCAGAGTCCCCGGCCGAGTCGCGTATCGACCGCCTAGAACTAGCTGGGGTATGAACACAAACGAAGGAAAGATTTCGGGAAGAGATTGGGGAGAGCGGATACAATATTTTTCTTTAGTTTACAAATCAATCGCATACGGAGCCCACATACGTCAATGTTGCATCGTACCGCAGCTAAAAGGATCCCGTGCTCCTTAAACATCACCCGGTCAGGACCAGCAAACAACGGTGTCTAGTCTGGTACCGTCACCGCCCTAACTACGATAATAGTGTTCGCGATTATGCTGTACACAAACTGTTCGTTACGAAACTCGCAATGGTGCAACGAGCATGAAGAAAATACGCCACAGAAAGACATCTCACATCGGGTTCGAGCACCCAAGGAGGCCGGGGCTGTACGTGCTGTAGTCTGAGCAGCTTGGCTGGGGCGAGGCTCCTGGCGCTCTACGGCTCTAGTCTTCTCAATAATCGCTCCCATGTCGCTCAAGTCATGTTCACTAAGCCGGAAGTCTTCTAGTTCCACTTGACCACCGCAAAGCCTCTCAAGCCCGAGGTGCGCGACCCGTGCAACAAAGGTGTCCACGGAACTGCCCTCATCCGCTCCTGATTCCGTCGGTAAAATACGGTGAATCCGCATCAGCAGCTGATCCCTGCGCGAGATGTTCTGCCCGTTCACTAGTGTCACAGTCCCGGTGACGCGCACCTGACTCAAGGCTTCCTTCACGAATGTCAGAACCGCCCGACCCGCGCGATCACTCGGGACACAATCGACAAGTCTAAATTGCGCATCCAATCCGACCGTCTGGGAGTTTGGGTCCTCGCTACGACGCGCATATTGAAAGTCGTGCGTAATTGAAGTGGCGACGAAGCTAACGAGGCCCCTAAGTCCGACATCGACCCTAGACGCAGTAGTAGTGACGCTCTCCACCCGATGATCAAGGTCTGCTGACATAGTTGGATGGTTGGTATTCCGGTGGTCGGCAAATAGGCTTCCATTGCTGGTGACCGGACCAATCTTGCTGGGACCAATCAATACATGTTGTACTGTACGCTCGCTATGTATGTACTTACGTACCACTATTTCATTTCACGGCGCCCCCATCTTCATGAGCAGTTGCAGTTGGACAGGAGGGCGACGTCAGACTACAAAACCTACGTCCAGCGAACACAGAGGAACAAGAAATACACAAACATAAAAGCCTACCTGTGACGACGGGCCTGACGTGGGGTCATCGCCAACAAACTGGTGAGTGCTGTAGCCGAGGGCCGGGGATGTATGCGACAAGCCGGCGAAACGCATGCCAAGATATTCAGACGTAGGCCCAATACACGTGATTGTACACGTCTCAACTAAATAACTAGTTTCAACCGTATGATGAGCGTCCGAGACAAATAAACCGTGATTGGTAGATTATTAGGCGGACTACGGAGAGGCTACATATATAGGACAACGTCGATCCGCCTGCTGTACGTCGGATATGATGTGCTCGTTACAGACCAACTTACAGCTGTGTTCATTCGACCTCTGCGTTCGTCTACCCATCATCCAACGGCATTTCATCTCGTATTGAAGTTGGGACACGTGGACGCGTCACTCCGTTTCGGTGCACTCTACTACCCCTTGCTCCATTGCGGCACCTAACTGCAGTATGTACAAGACTTGTTTGTGCATTCGATATGAAGTATCCGCCCGAGCCACCACAACTGATTCCATGGGCTCAATCCGTCCTCGGTGCATGGAGATACAGCAGTTGCACAGCATATATCTGCGCCGAATTCGAACCACATGTAGGGTTGCACAGCATATATCTGCGCCGAATCGAAGCACATGTAGGGCGGCAACCAGGCGTTCCCGCCAAAATAAACGGGCAGGCTTGGTCAGGCATGAATTATCTATGTTGTGTTGTTGTTGTTGTTGTTGTTGTTGTTGTTGTCTTCACATTATAAACCGCTCCGTCCTCTCTACTCAGTACGTTCTTCTGTCCGAGCTCATCTCGAGTATTCCAAACTTCATCGAAGGAGGAAGTAATCGGTCTAGACTGCTGTTTATACATGACGGGTGTTCATATTACTGGTACAATACATCATGCACCAGACACAAAAAAAAGTCATTGATGGCCCATGACTTCGGCGCGATAAGACCAGTAGCAGCAGCAGCAACAGCAGACAGGGGATACGGCCATTGCGAAGACAAACAACAGCGCGGCGCAGGTACAAAACGTGGTTGATCCCGGGGAACCATCCCCATAACGCGCGGAACCGGACCCATACGAAGGGCAATACTACTTTTTATACTACGGAAGAATGAGGTATAATAGAACCAAGGGGTGTAGATACCGCTCGCAACAGGCACAAAAGTCATTGATGGCCCATGACTTCGGCGCGATAAAACCAGTAGCAGCATCAGCAACAGCAGACAGGGGATGCGGCTCTTGCGAAGACAATCAATAGCGCGGCGCAGGTACAAAACCTTGACGATCCCGGGGAGCCATCCCCACAATGCGCGGAACCGGACACATTCGAAGGGCAATACTAGTGTAGTAGGAAGATTTTTTTTTTTATACGGAAGAACTGTTTTAGGACAACGGAGTAGTTTTAGTATGGGCACTACAGCTGTAGGACGGGGTAGATACCGGTCCTCCAACCAATCACATGTATATTACTGGTTGATGGGCAACGACGAGCGGGAATCCTCCGAAGACCTATGTAGCACAGCAGCAGGAGCACATCAAACTCGTAGACGACACACGAGAAAACCAGCACAGCAGCACACGAGACGGTGGGGGACGAAGGGCAG